AAGGACTTTCTAAAATACAGTAGAGGTCAGTAAACACAAGCGCTTAAAAGACATGATCCTGACCGAGTGAAATACAGGCAGCAATTTTAGAATTCTGCTGTTAGCCTCCTGTCCTCCACTGCGTTCTCTTCACCCCAGTGGCTGTTTGGGATTTGGATTAGATGTCTGTCAAGTGTGGAAGATGTCAGAACATACTGAAGTAACCATTTACATTCAGACCAATGCTGGAGAGTTCCAGCAGTCTGGTTACACAACCCCAGCAAAACTTCATCAGTCGCTGGGAATTTTACCAGCATCTGCAACGTTTAAGTAGACCCGATCACTCTGATGCTCAGAGCCCAAGACCTCTTGGTTTTCACCAAAGTCACTCAGAGGTTTGGACTCTTTGGGACACTTCAGTGTTAGTCTCCATGTATTTTACAGTGAATTACTGCTCTTTCTTTGTTCTCCATTTCTTATTTAAGATGCTTACGTGTTAAGATGACATTTGGCAGCGAGTTTCTCTACTTGCTTTTAAGCTTAGGTTTTAGAATTGCTAGTTGAAGTTAACATGTTGATGTTGAATTTCTGACAGGCTTCTGTTTGTAACTGTAGGTTAGTTGTGGACTCATTGTGGTCGCCTATAAGAACGGCTCCCCAGCGCATCCGCATTTCATGGACCCCGATCTATGCTCGCAGTACTGGAATAAGTGGCTTTTGCGCCTTGAAGAGTACATGGACAGACACTGACCCAAACCAAGCTGTGCAGAGCCAAAGCAAGAATCCTGTGTTTAAGTCTGTCATTTTTTTTATAACTTTAGCTAATTTCTTAATACCAGACTTTTCCCTCCCCCCCAAAAAAATGGAATGGGGCAAGGTCAACTTACTCTCAGTTTTTCCCACTTTAGGTTTATAACAAAGTTTCTATAAAGAAGTAAAATTACTCAATCAAATCGTCGTTTTGTCATTTTTGAGGACAAAAAAACCCAAAACCGAAAAACTATTGCAGCACTGAGGCTTTGCAAATGAGGTTGGTGAACTAAAGTAAAATGCTATCGGCGTTGTCAGAGCTGAGAGAAATGCAAACGATAAACAAATTAACGTAGCAGACCAGATTTCAGTCAGCTTAGTTCTTGCTCATCTCAAAGGTATCTATATGCAGGCTTGTTACTATTTGTGGTTTTTCTTATGGCAACGGCTGGAAAAATTGCGCTACAAATTACAACCAAAGTTCTCACAAGCACTTAATTAAAATACTACGGCAAAGCGATGATTTAACAGGAGCGGCTTAGCGAAAGAGGAGCAGAATAGTAACCGGTAACACCTAGAAATTTCCAGCGGGGGTTTGGAAAGGCAGGAAGTTTGACTGTTCACCCATGTGGAATGATCTGCAGTGTCAAGTTATAGGCTTTGCCAGCACGAGTAAGTTTCTTTGTAAAAGCAGGCTTGCAGCTTTGAAGCCCCACCTTCTGCAGAATGCAGAGCCGCTGATTGATTTTTGGGGGGTTGGGGTTTTTTGTGCGGTTTTTTTTCCCCAAAAAATATTTGTGAATAAATGTTCTCTGCCGGAAGTTACTTTAAAAGCTTGTTTCATAAAATCAAGTCTGTAAGACACAGTATAAGCCTCGATGATGGCAGGCGGCTTTGCTTTGTGCGGTGCGCATCTGGAAAGCTTTTTTTCCTCCTTCTCTTTGTTTTCTCTGAAACGTACGTACGAGTTCTCATAGTACCGCTGGAGGTTACAAATAAAAATACGACCAACCCATACACTTCCAGAAAATCAGCCAGAACCATACCTAAAAAAAAAAAAATGGGCAGACATGGTGCTGAAGAAATGTAAACCTCTAGAATGCTTAATCTTCTGCTCCTCCAGAGTGCTCAACTGTGGAAACCTGTGCAATGAAGCTTGGTTATAGTGGTACTTGCTTATTCAAACCTGGTCTAGTAATGTTACGATTACTCGGTTCTTAATTAGATTTCTATCTAAAAGGACAAACCATGGAGACTGAGGAGCTCTGTTCAGGGATGACTAACTATGGTGATGCTTTTGTGAGTGCTCAGAAGTTCTACCTGTTTTGCGAGTATCTTCCCACAGCACAGAATTTTAGCAAGCGGGTGGCTGAGCGTCACAGTCAATTTTCCGAGTAAGATAGCTCCATGGATGTAAAGAGCATGGGCAGAAGCAAGAGGTAAGGTGCCCTGAGCAGAAGCAGGAGGTGATAAAAGGCACCGAATTCCCTGTGGTGACTGGGATTGGATAAATCGAAAGAGCGTGGAAAAATTGGGCAACATTTGGGTGGGATCGCCACCTTCACCGGCGCGTCATACAGCTGTCAGGCATCTCGGAACCACCTGAGGTTTCAGCCTCATCCTGCCCCCAAGTAAATAAGGACAAGGCTGGCACCTGGGCAGCGCGGGCACCTGCTGATTTCACCTGCATTTAACAAAAGCCTCCTGGCTGGCAGCTTCGCTGACAGCGCCAGTGTGTAAACCTGTCCTTAAGTCTGGGATGAGCGTGTATGTCAGAGAGCCTGGGGAGGGCAGGCAGCCTGCAGAGACCACAGCGGTGCCTAGCGCTGCCGAGCAGCTGCCTCGGGCATCCCTGGGTGGGAGCCGGAATGTTTCTGTAGAGGGACAAGCCAGTACCGGTTTTGTCCCCTGACAGAACCGCAGATGGCTGTCACCAGCATCATGCAAACTCAAACTTTCTTTGTGACCACTTTGAATTAACTTGCCAGACTGTTAAATTAACATGCCCAAGGCAGCTGCTGCAAGCAGCATCTGTCCTGTCCAGAAAAACCAGCCAGACAGTGAGAGCAGCAACTCTAGCTACAACGTCCGGCTTGTCAGAGCTTTTCTCTCCATCCAGAGTGGATTTTCTTCTGTACTCTGCTACCTGCTGCTCTCTGTTGCTGCAAAATGCTCGGATGGGCTGTACTGACCCATCCCGCCTTGGAACTGAACCCAACAGCAAAGCTTCGTGACTGAGACCTCACCGCGCAGGTGACAGGGAGCATCGCTGGCACAACTGGCTGAACCAGCTGTCGGTGCTTTTCTCAGCCTGGCAGTCCTGTCAGTGCGTGTGCACACACACAGCTTCCACGTCAGCAACCTTCCATTTGCACTATTCAGTTACAATGGCACCATCTCAGACAAACTGGGAACTGGTACATAAGCTTCAGCTCTTTTTCTGTATTTAGTTTACCTCAGATGCTGCTTCTTTCCTACGGAGTTCCCATTTATAAATATTCTGCAAACTTTTCCATCGCGTAGGATGACAAGTTTGTTCTTTTTGCGGTAGCATCACTTTATTATCCTTGTGTTTCAAGGTCCCAAGCACTGATGGTTGTGCTGAATAATGTATTAACATCACAAGAAATGCTTTAAAACCTCTAAAAGCTTTTTCCCCACAAAAACCCAAGCAGGTGCCTGTACAAAACTGAGGCAAATTGAGAAGATTTTTACGAGTCTTGCAGAAGACGCTCAGAATCTGTCATTTTAGTAGTAATGACTATGAATTTCATAGTAATGACTATGAAGGTCCTGACTGTTTTAGGTGGGTTACCTTTCAGCTGTTGTTTCAACGCGCATGTATATAATACAGCGCGTCCTCCCCAAACATACAGCTCTATTTTAAATGCAAAATGGCTTTTTGGCACTTAACTTACAAACTAAATCCCTTGTTAGGAATTTAAATTGATGTAAAACCTCCTCCAAGTCAAGGGACAGATGAATAATGTGTGCTTGGACCAGAGGCCCTCGTGGTTCCCAAGGACGTGACCATCCCAATCCTGTTGCTCCTCAAGACGCCCACATGCCCAGTAAAGGCAGCAGCAGCTGAAGGTGTCAGGCAGTTTCAGGAGCAAAAGTTATACGGGCATGCCTTGCCCCTCCTTTTTTTTATTATTTTAATTCCCAAATTCTCCTCACCTAGTCCCTATAAGCCATCCTCTTGGTTGTCCTGAATCCACAGAAGCTGGAGTGGGACTAGAGGGGAAGTCCAAAAGCACAGAGATGTAGCACCACTCCCTCATCATCATCATCATCATCACTACCTCCTTCTCTCATGGCACTGGTCTCACCAGGAGCCTTCTAAACTGACAGCAGCTGCAGAGGAGAGGCCAGATTTGTGCGCACGCTTTCGTGCTGATCTCACAGGGCAGGGACAGGTGAAGTGTCCCAGAGCTCTGCTCTGCTGTGTTAGCGAACAAGCGTTTGATCATTAAAAAGAAAAAAAAAAAGCCTCAAACGCACACAGGTACCATAAAATACACAGAAAATTGCATTTCGTCATGACAGAAAATACATGTCTTCAAGTCATTCCAGTGTTTTCTTTGGGTTTCAGGGTCGATAGTGATGTGTGTTCAAAGGACCTGGCAATAACCCCCAAAGTGAGCGTGGCAAGCCCAGGAACATCAGTGTTAAGGCTGCACTTAAATCTAAACACAGTAAAAGTTAAGTTTGCAGCTTAAATTACCTAAAGCACATCAGTCTGCCCTGGAATAATGTCATTTGCCAGCAGAGAAAATTTGGGAAGAAAAAGGTTGCACACCCTGTAAAAAAGAAGTTTCAGCTCACTTTGGGGCACGCTTCCTTAAGTTGCTAGTGTACTGCACAGGGGGAAAGTTGAGGTTATTTGCACATTTTAACTTATATACCAATACCATGTACTCTTAAAACCATTTTAATTCATTTTGCATAGAACAATGTGCTAGTCGCTGCTCTTACACAGGACTTGTCACCCAGACCTCTCAAAAAGTAATTTGTATGGGAGGTAACGGTTATTATCTTTACAAAATACACCAGGGAAAGGTGAACTTATTTGTCAGTGGCTGCTCAGACAGGTGCTAGAGCTGAAACAGAAGGCAGGTCACGAGAATGTCAGTTCAGTAAACACTCCATCCAAGAGGTGACAGTCTCTTCCAAACTTTCCTTTTCTTTTTTATGGGGGTGTTTCTGTCAAGTTGAGATTTTACCAACAGCAAGAGAGTTCCATTAACAAGAGCATCCCTTTCATTTCAAGGACTTCTTTCAAAAACTGTTTTTAAAAAAATAATATATATATATAGTCCTACATGTAAACTTCATTCCATCAGACCACTGTAATCCACCGCGTTACTCATCTTTGTCGTCATCTTTGGAGTTCCTCTGCAGGACAGGGCTCAGTTTGTTCTGCAAAACCGCCGCAAGTTTTTTTGAGGTTTTTTTCAGGAAAGCGCTTCCAGGGTGAACATTACTAACGTGCAGGTACAGGTCCTCCTGCGTGGGGCCCGTATAGCCGCAGTCTTCGCACACGTAAAGTTTATCTCGCCTCTGTTTGTAGGCGTATTGCTGCTGCACACCGTGAATCTTCTTCAGGTGGGACTCCAGGGAACAGCGCTGGGTGAAGGCCTTGTTGCAAACCTCGCATTTGTAAGGGCGAATTCCTGCAAGGGGAAAAGACAGCGATCACCACCCGGGTTTACGTTTCCTACAGACCGCTAAGGGACCAGCTCAGGCTCTGGCGCATCAGCCGTTGAGTAAATAGTAAGCAGGGAGCTACTAGCCCAAGGAACTCTCCAGCTAAATGAAACATTTTACCTTAAGGCTGAACTTTTCAGGAATGCATCAATACATTTAGGCATAGAAAACCTAGGAAGAGTTCGAGAGGACGCAGGCAGGCACTGAGGGTAACAGGTGCCCATCGGCGCTTTGGTCCTCGAGAAGAAGCCACTATCGACTCTTGGAGAATCTACTCCTTTAGACCCTCAACTTTCTCAAGTCCTGTCATTAGGTAAAACTATTGCTTCCTGCTAACTTTTCATTTTGGTTTTTAAAATGAAATCTTGTGTCTCAGTAAGATGCTGGTGTTTCTCCTTTGGCGAGCAAAGCCTGAGGGTTCAGGTTTTCATTCCTGTCCCATACAAAGACTCTTCTTCCCTGCCAGTGTCTGGCAGGACCCGCTCCCCTCCCGCATAGCGAGCTAAACCCTACCTGCCACAGCATACATCCATTTTCAGCTTCTGAACAGAGACCCTTCTGGATTTAGTTTCTGAGTCAAAAATTACAAGGGGACGGGTTGAGAAAATCACTTCTTTCAGAAGAAACCACTCCGCGCTTGAGCCATACCCCAGCGGCAGCTCCCTGCTCGCAGCCAGCAGCTTGCCTTTCCACACGAAAGCTTTGCAAACAAACTGAAACAGCCCAAAAACCCCTCAAAGCAAGTGGCATTGTTTTCGTGAGCTCTACAGCTAAGAAACAACTCCTGCCTACCAACGTACTTGCATCACCTCTAGCAGTTCACCTGGTTAATGGTGCCTATACTGAAAAAGGGGAATCAGCAGGCCCTGTAGGTAATCACAGATTTGGAAAGCTGGAACACATCCAGTGGATGCATTTTCTGGGTGCCTCACAGTGCAATACAGTTCAATATGTATTTAAGCCATCGCTTCCACTGAGAAAAAAAAAAAGAAACAAAAAGGCAGCCTTTTCCCTGCTCTAGGTTAGGGTAAGCACTTCTGTGACCAGTGAGCTGGGTTTGAGACAACCGAGCCAGTTCAAAGAAACACAATCGCTGCCATCCGGGGGTTCAGGAACCGACCCCACCACAGAGCAGCCACAAAAAGCGCATCCCTCCAGCCTAGGGGAGCAAGATGGGAGCACGAGTGGGCAGAGCAGGGAGAGGGACAACTTTTCTTTCTTACAGTGCCATCATGGGCTTAAATCACAGGATCCTCTGCTGGGTCTGTATACCTAGTGTAGGTGCAAGCCCAGATTAAAGGAAGCTTTTTATCCCCTCTCAATCCAGAGCAGGAGCTGCTGTCAGGAGATTTACAACCCACTGCTCTCAATTTTCAACACATGCTGTGACCCGCATGAAAAGTGAGCAGAGATAGTTTATGCTGGTGGCAAAAATTGGTCTGGATGCTTGGATGTGCAGAGAGAAACAGCTCTGAAAAGGAGCTGGAGAAGGGGGTAGCTGGAAGCAGGCAGCGATGCAGCGTGCAGGGTTAGCAAAAGATGGACGTGTTGCCTACTTTCCCTAAAGAAGCTGGAGGCAGAGAACGAACTACACTCTGGTTTTTGCAGACGGTGACAAAATCGAGTCATAACCCCATCCTGCGGGATGGCCAGCGGGGCGGGTTCACAACAGCAAAAAAAACCTGAGAAACTGCTGCTCGTTGCCTCTAGAGGGCAAAGCATTTTCATCCTCCGCCTGCCTCCGCTCACCGGTACACGCTGGACTTGCAATAACGCATGGTGAGTGATCCCGGTGGGTTATCCCGGGTGGATTATCCCAGCCTTGCTGAACCAGGCACATCAACACATGACTGCGTCTGCACCAGATCTGGATAGTAGCTCACGCACTCACACTGCTCCACACGGATTTCATCAGATTTCATTAGTCCCTGGACTTTTATTTGTCCACACTCATGTCTTCCCTCTCTTTTCACTTGCTTCTCCACTTTTTTTTTGCAAATGTGGTTTACCTGGGGCATCTTGCCAGGTTACCCTCACCTTCTCCTCATCCTTGTCCCATGTCATCCCTTCTCCCACCTCCCGCTACCCAGAGCCACCCACAAGACCCTGGGCAACACCTTCTCACCGGTATGGGTGCGGACATGTCTTTTCAGATCAAAGGTGTCATTGAAGCCTTTTCCGCAGAAGGTGCACAAGTGTCTCTTCACCTGGCTGTGACACTTGATGTGACGGTTGAGCATCCGCTGCAAGCGAAAGCCTTTGCCGCACAGCTCGCAGCTATGCACCGTCGCATCGGTACAGGTGCCGGTGGTGAACTAAGGAACAGAATAGGACTGGGTGAGTAGGCATCGAGACGACAAAAGGACGGACAGCAAAACCAAACGAAATAAGGCGGGATGGCTCATCGCGGCATTAACAACTTCTTGGGGTATGTTCAAAACGAAAAGTGAAAGCATTTGGGAGGTTCTGGCTGGGCGAAACCTTCATGCTTCCCTTGCAATCGAGTGGGTGACTTAGTGTGCGCGGTTTGCGACTGATGGTCAGGGGTTAAAACAAAGCCTGTGTAGTTGGAAACTTTCCAGGGTCAGGGAACTCCATCCACCTACATCCAGAAGCGCACGGGTTTAGGCTCCGAGCACCTCTCCACAGGGCTGCATGTGTGTTTGCTCCTGCACTCAGCTAACAACCCTGGTGCAAGACAGTCATACACATGTGGTACCTTTGCTAATCATGCTTCCAGCTGCTACAGGGTCCCTTGAAAACCAGCCAGTGGTGGGGAAAAAAAACAACAAAACCAGGTAAGTTTGGCAAGATAAACCAAAGGCACATTGTGCTGACTCAGCAGAGGCTGAAGCAATGGCACTCATTAATTAACGGCAGAGTGTCATTAGGGGTTAATCTCCTCATTCCCGCTCGTAACACCAAAAATATTGCGCCAACGCCATGACTTAACTTGACTAAGGGAGACACTGATGATTCAGCTCTTGGGAAGCACGTTCCTCAGAGGGAAGGTTTAATGTCTGGAAGATGCAAATACTTCACTCTTAGTTTAATTATTCACCAGGGAGTGGACGCGCTTGCCACTAACTTGGGACGCGGGAAAGCCAGCGGAGCGGGTGGCACTGGGCACATGCATCTGTTGTGTCTCGTGGCATTTTTGAGGAGTTTCTGTGGCATGCTGAGAAACCCCAACCCTGCTGAAACGAGGTTTCACCGTGACAGTTGCTAATAGCCCAAGTTAAATTATGCAAGTAGGTTAAAGTCAAACAGCAGCGAGGCAAACTCTTCACAAAGAGATGAATACATTTGGCGTTTCTTTTTCCTGAAGAGCCAGTTATTTTTCCCAATCCTCCTTTGCTTACTACTGAAGCAAACTACCTGAAATCATAAAGATTTTTTTTTTTTCAAAGGCAGCTGTGAAACTCTAAGGTGTGAAACTAGAGGGGGAGCTGGCTGGGAAGTATCTGTTGGGCAACAGGTAGGGCTCCACCTTATGTGGCTGCATACAACCAGGGTGAAAATCTAGTGTTAATCAGGAGATTAAAAACATGGTGGCTGAAAGGCTGTCATTCCAGCACAGACAGTGGGAATTTTTACAGCTCCATCCAGCAAAGCAACAGCCAGAGGTTTAAAAAGGTGTTAACTAGCCACTAGTAAACACATCTCCTCCTTCCTAGCACTGGTGTAGCCTGGCTCCACCTCTGCTGAGGGGAACCCTGGATATTCAGAGACGGACACAGTCCTCCCACCCCGTCTGCATGTTAAGAGATGGACATGGTCCTCCCACCCGATCTACATCACCACCATGTCTTGAGTTCTGGGGTAACATGAGGGGCCTGTGGGCGATTCACCTTCTCAAGCTTAGGGGGGAAATCATCGTTTTGCTCTGCTGGCTCTGCCTGGGGAAGGCACCCAGAAAGCAGGAGCTCCTGCCCATGCAGCAAAGAGGCTTCTCGGCAAAGTTAACGGACAGATAATTGCTTCATTTCACCCAAGCCCGCAGGTCCATCTCAAGGTGGCAATGGCCTTTTCACAGCTTCCAGAGAGGACTTTTCCCTATCTGCCGCCTTGATAAGTTAAGGAAATAGGGGAGAAAGAGGAAGACTCACTGCAAGCCCCCCTTGGCGAAGTCTTGACTGCAACCTAGAAGGCGGCTTTTTAAGGAGGCCCCAAGTTAAGGAAAGAGATCCACCCACACACCGTGGGGCATGACTCCCCGCTGCCAGGGCTGGTCCTTCCTGGCTCGGTTCAGAGCTCCTGCGGGACTCCAGCCAAGCAGGTCAGGGGCAGCATGTCCCAGGCGGGGGATAAGGGAAGGCAAAGGGCACTGGAAGATTGCGGTACATCGCCTACAAGGCTTTGCCCTGCCATGCGAGGTTGCCCCTCCCTGGCGAGGCCCAGCCGCTCTCACAGGTCTCCATCTCAACAAGTGGGATGGGTACTGTCACCTCTAGGAGAGGGAACCCCAAGGGACTGGCTCACCCAGTGTCCCCAGCCAGCAGCAGGACCCTGCCCTTGAAAGCGCAGTCATCCCATCACCAGGGAAGGAGACAGCCAAGGGTGCGGGCGGTTACCTTAATTTTCGACCTGAC